CCCCCCCCACTCTCTCTCGTTTTCTTTCGCCACTGCCTTTGTCACAACTGATCTCACGTTGTGCTGTTTCGGAGCCCTTTCAAAGGCAAGGGGATGACTCAGATTCTGGTTCACATTCAGAAGCCCCAGTGTGATTTACGAGGGTCTCAAATTTAGCAATTATAGTGTTGGAATGGAAAAGAACTCCATGTCGACTTCTGGGGGGTGGTGAGTGTGGAGAAAACACCCAAACCCCAAACTAAAAACAGACATTTTAAAATGACTCTTCTCTCCCGTGACAAAGACGGAACTTGCTTCTCGTTGGGTCTGCATCCTATTTCTTGCATGTTTGCACCAGAGAGGGATGTTTGTTTGTTCGGTCCTTTGCAAATTGTCGTTCGTAATGAGACCCTGATTTTCCTTTCCTTTCCTTTTTTTTCTTTTTTTGGTGCAATGATTTTAATCCACCCCCCCCGATTAATCCTCACCACATGCGGAAGATCGCACATCCTTCAACACGAGGCCTTGGCTGACACGGTGTGGCCTCAGCACAATTCAACCCATGTGCTCTGGAAAATGTCGCCCAGTTCTTGCAGGATCCGGTTCCCTTGCTGGATAGAAACCTGGCTGGCAGGATAAGGAACCTGTCAAAAGTGACAGTAATCAGATAAGCTGAAGACATGCCTGGAATCTGGAGAGCTTCTTCTTGTTACTTTGTGCCTTTGGGACCACGGGGAAGGCAGGGTGAAGAAGAAACCATTTCCTGCGAGTTGCTTCTGATAGAAAGAGTTGTGGCCCGCCTGTAAGCAGGAATGGGCTTCTCGGGGTTCACAGGGGTTCGGGAGGGACTCTGTGCAGTTCAGAGAACTCCCAAATTCCACACACCCCACCCATCCCCTCCCAGGAGTCCCCATGCAGCCTGTTTTGGGTGCAGGTAAGTGCAGGGTGCATGTGGAGACGCAAGGAAGGTGAAAAATGGGCCTCCTGAAAGTTCAGGAAGGCTGGAAATGGGCCCGTTTCTGGTTTCCAGGGAGCCTCCGGAGTCTGGGGAGGCTGTTTTCACCCTCCCGGAGGCTTGAGAAAAGCCTCAGGAGCCCGGGGAGGATGAAAATGCCCCTGCATCATGCAAGAGGCTGCCACTCCCACCATAGCCGCAGCCACCCAGCAACCGGTAGAGAACCCCTGGCTAAAAATTTTGAAGCCCATCCCTGCCTGCAAGGCATCCATTTCCTCTTCTGGACGGGTTGATTCCCAACGGATTGATCGACATGCCATCCAAGGAGGGCCATCTCTTAGTGCCCACTGTGATAGGACTTCTCCTGGAGGATCTGTCCCCAACTTGGTCCTTCTGCTCTTCTAAGGGTGACCCTTTTCCTACTGTCATAAAACCCATCTGCCTTGCTCCAGGCCACCTCTTCTTCTATACCTTCAACTTTTCCCCTGCATTAAGGGAGCTCTTGCTTATAATTTTATGTATATGATATTCCTGCAGTTGAGTTCTTGACTGAATGAAGAACTACTGGATATCAAGGAGGAAATCGGAAGGAAATGATGAGATGAGAGGCAGTAGGCTTCTGTCCATCAAAATGGACCTGCGAGTCAGAGTTTCGCTTGTTTTAGCAGACTAGTCTTCTTCTCCCGTGTCCTAAACCATGTCTCTCTCTCATCCTTCAGCAAACTTGGTCACACATTGATGTTCAGATTATGGTTTGACTCCAAACTTAAACCTGGTCTACAAAACTTGGTTCTGTTTCCTCCTTCGCTCCCGACCAATATGTACATTAATAGTTTGCCCGGTTCTGAAAGCTTGTTGAGATGCCTTCTCCCATCTGGGAGGAAGATCCTGTCTCAGAAACGTTCCAATGGAGAAGTTCAGAAGTTCTTCAAACAATAACTGATACCTCCAGATTTCCTTTTCTTTGGGTAGCATCATGGCTAAACATTTAGACTTCTGGGTGTCTGGATTCAAAGCCATTCTTGACCAGGATGATGGACTGCTTCTCTTTCACACCTCACATAGGTAAGAAGGGAACCTTCAGCTTCCAACATGGAAGCGGAGGATAGAAGTGGAATACTAAACGAATACATAGAAGGAAAAATGGGGACTGTAGGTGCCTTTGAAACGGGACCCCCAAATTCAGTGACAGAAATTCCAATATCAAATAGGAGGATTAAAGTTCGGCTGGGCTTCAGATAAGCTCTAAAATGTGGCAGCATTCTAGACCCACTCAAAATGGGGAAAGAGGTGAAAATTCCCCTCCTCCGCTTGAGTGACGCTGAACAGACATTGCGCTGCAGCCAAATGAAAATATACATTAACAATGGCTTATTAACAACCTGGATTAGATTTCTAGCATCAGAGAGGTACCTATCGTTAAAAAGATAAAGGTTCCCCTTGCACATATGTGCGAGTGGGTTTCTGGCTCTAGGGGGCGGTGCTCATCTCCATTACAAAGCCGAAGAGCCAGCGCTATCTGAAGACGTCTCTGTGGTCATGTGGCCGGCAGGACTAAACACTGAAGGCGCACGGAACGCTGTTCACCTTCCCACCAAAGGGGTCCCTATTTTTCTACTTGCATTTCTTACGTGCTTTTGAACTGCTAGATTGGCAGAAGCTGCTGGGACAAGTAACGGGAGCTCACTCTGTTATACGGTGCTAGGGATTCGAACCGCCGAACTGCCAACCTTTCTGATCAACAAGCTCAGCGTCTTAGCCACTGAGCCACCGCTTCCCTATGGCAGCATCCTAGACCCACTCAAAATGGGAAAAGAGGTGAAAATCTTCCCTTGAATGATGCTGAAGAATCATTGCACTGCAGCCAAATGAAAATACACATTAACAATGGCTTATTAACAACCTGGATTAGATTTCTAGTTTCAGAGAGGTACCTATCATTAGACCTTCTTTGATCTTCCCCCCCCCCTTCTGGCATGTAAGGGGTGTGTTTACCTTTGTGACCTGGGTGTGCTTTTTTTCCCCATCTCTCCAAGGGCGCTCGAGGTCCTGATGGAATGCCAGGTGAAGCAGGGGCCCAAGGTCCAAAGGTGAGTCATGTTCCCCCTTCCCCCAATCAAAAATGCGAAGTCATTCTTGGACATCTGACGTAGTTGGCCCATAGTTGCATTGCTGGAATGCAGAGACTGGACCTTTTCCATGATTCTGTGCCAGGTTACAGGAGTAACAGATGGGAAGCATGAATGTCAAATGTCTTTGCTACTCCCGCCATTCTGTGTCTGATGATTTGATTCTGTTGCAAGAAATGGGCCTGGCTAGTCTAGGGAAGAGAAGGACCAGGGAAGACAGGATAGCAGTGTTCCAATATTTGAGGGGCTGCCACAGAGAGGAGGGGACCGACCTATTTTCCAAAGGGCCAGAAAGCCAGACAAAGAACAATGGATGAAACTGATCAAGGAGAGATTCAACCTGGAAATAAGGAGGAATTTTCGGACAGGGAGAGCAATCAACCAATGGAAGAGAAGGGGGTCTTCAGAAGTTGTGGCGGCTTCATCACTGGAGGCTTTGAAGAAGAGACTGGACTGCCATCTGACAGAAATGGTGTAGGGTCTCCTGCTTGGGCAGGGGGTTGGACTAGATGACCTACAAGGTCCCTGTTATTCTGTATTCTCCTGAGACAAAATAGTGGGCAAAATAGTGGGCAAAATAGCTCATGTTTCATTCAGATTTGAATTACTGTTATCAAGTGCTGTGGAAATCGGGAGGTTCAAATGGATATAAAGATTTATTGCAAGCTAAAGCTCTGTACAAGAATCCGAACTACTAATAGTCAAAGGAAATTAGCAGGAGTTAAAAAAAGGAATTCAAGGTGGGCTGGACTTAGATCTCTTGTGGGCACGCAAGGACTCATGACTGATGACACGTTCAACCCCTCCATCAGGCTTAGACTTACAGTCATCATCAGATCAGAGTCTCCAAATCCATTCAGAGAAATCCAATTCAAGGAAGAATCGATTTGATTTGGAAAGTTTGGGGATTTGATTGAGCTTCCTTGATAAGAACATAGAACATAGAATCCTAGGGCTGGAAGAGACATCAAAGGTCTTCTAGTCCAACCCCTCTGCTCATGGCAGGAGACTTTATCCCATCTTGGTCAAATGGTTGTCCAGTCCATTTTTGAAAGCCTCCAGCGATGGAGCACCAAGGATGGATCTCGGAATCAATGTGATACAAAAGCCCCATGAAACAGGAATCCCATCCATGACGCTTCTACAAAACATAGAGAGTTCGGAAGTCTTTCTTCCTTGCCAAACACATAGGCTGAGATTTAGTATTTCCTTCCACACAGACTGAGCACAGACAGAGCCCATGTTCTCAGCATAGTTTTCCATTTCTCTACATGGACCATTAGGGAGAAAACTGGCTCAAACCTCCTTTCCATGATGCTCTAGTTTGTTGCATACGGGATTTTTAAATTTTTGCAAGGAGGCAAGGCAAGAAAGAGGGTTCTGGATATTAAATTTGTCCTTTAGGGTCTGGTCAACTGGGAGGATTCCACCACATGTTTCTTTCTTAGTTGTAGAATGGATTTTCTCTCTGCTCTTTGGGAGACAAAGACATAGGGCTTGTAAGGTGTAAATGGCCATATGGAAAAAGTGAAGAAAAATGAACCTTTGTTGCATGTTTTTTTAAAAAATAAAACTCTCCCTTTTGTTATGATCTGGTTAACAGGGCCTCCCAGGTAATCCAGGTAAACCAGGACTGGACGGTCAAGAGGTACATTCAGTATTTTTTTAAAGCAATCTAAAAGTGGTCGAGATGTTGATGATATCACTGCAGGACTCGCTCTGATCTTCCCCCTGAATTCAAGTCTTTATGTTTGTAGGGAAAGATCGGCGAAATGGGAGAAACCGGATCTCGTGGCTTCCCTGTAAGTCCATCCTTTGTCTTGCTTCATAACATAATTAATACCCCGTTTCCCCGAAAATACAACCAACCCTGAAAGTAAGTCCTAGCTTGATTTTTTACACGTGTGCACAATATAAGCCCTACCCCCCCCAAAATAAGCCCTAATTAAGATCCTGCCCATTCCAGAGTCGACAGGTAAAAATTAAACTAGGGTGGGAATGGGAGGGTGGAGCCGCCCTACTACTTACCTTTGAACAATTGTAGCCAGGCCTCGCACACCTTGACACCTGCCTCACTGACCCATTTTTCCTGCAGCTGGCAAGTCTGGCAAGGCTTTCCTAAAGGCTTCTGTAGCTGGTAACCAAGCTCTGGATCGATCCAGAGCTCTGTTATCGGCTTGCAGAGGCCTTCAGGAAAGTCTTGCCGGCCACAGAAGAAGTTCCTGAAGGCCTCTGACAGCAAAAAGGAGGGCGATGCACGCAAGTGAGGTTAGTCAGTGGATTGCACCCCTTGAAAATAAGACCTGGTGCCTTTTTTGGTGGCAGTATATATAAGACCGGGTCTTATTTTCGGGGAAACACGACATTTTATCAGAGACAGTAGTGGAGAGAATCCATATGAGCTTATTTCCACCATTTATGGACTTTGATCCAGGCTAGTAAAGTTGAATTAGGGAGGTTTCTCCCCACCTTCCTTGAGTTGCCATTTTTTTATTTTTTTTTCCTTCTTCTTTCTTTTCTTCCCTTGGGTCGATTTCTGATTTTCACCCTCATTGAAAAGCTTCTTTCATCCCACTTCTGTATTACTTTGGAATTTTTTTTTCTTTTAAAGTTCTCATTAAATTTGGTGCCCTTTCCTCCCATCAGTTTTGCTTTATGCGCAAAAGATTTCAAAAGCAAATTTCCCTGCTGATATAATTAACTTTCATGCATTATTTGCAATTATAGTGGTGGCTTTGAAAAGTAATTCTTTTTTTTTTTTTTAACCTCCCCTCTGCTCGGTTATAAAGATGAATTACTTAATATGGAGAAGTGGAAAACTTGAAGGGCAAATTAAATTTATGAGAGAAGTTGCATCTCGTTTAGAGCTTGGTCTCTTCATTGGCTGGTTTCATTGTAGGGCATCCAAGGACCTTCTGGACCCCAAGGAGCAAAAGGGCCTCCTGGAGACTTGGCAAGTACCACAAATGAACCTCTACTTTTGTTTCCACTCCTGTCCACTCTTCAACCCCACTCTTGATTATTCCTATATGAGCAGCTTGGGGAGAAGCCATGTAGAAGAACTTGAGAAATCATCTTCAAAGGAACCTCAGCACTGTTGCATTTCTTTCTGCTTGGTCCCTTCCCTTAGCATTTTGGCCAAAATGAGGTCTTCTCTGAAGACCTTCTCTGAAAGACAAGAAGAGGTCTTCTCTGAAGAAGATGCATTTCTTTCTGCTTGGTCCATTTCCTTAACATTTTGGCCAACATGAGGTCTTCTCTGAAGATGCCAGAAG